TAGATAAATTACGACTAAATAGTGTGTTCGATCACTCATAATTTCGACCTTGTGCCACATCTAAGCTACGCTTAGGAAATCACCATACACAAAATTTCACACATAGAAAGAGCAAGTGAAAGAAATTAAATTTCAGCTTTCATTGTGCCAGCACACTGGAAGCCAATAGTCGGCTTGATAACAAGGAATGCTTATTTTAAAACTGATGATTTTAGTATCAAAACCATCTTATGATGTTTAGAATCTTTGCGCTGGCCCCAGTGGGATGAAATTAATGTTTAAAATATAAATAATTCATCGCTTTTCATCTACACATCTGCATTCCTTATAGAGAAACATAAATTATTTAATATATTCAAATTCTAGCCTTTACATAGTGCATTGGCAAAGTTATGTCAATCCTTCCTTTAAAACAGGCATGAACTATCTTTTTCGAGAAGCAGGTCGAGTGAGACATGGCTCATCATAGGGCGGGTCACATTGCTAAAAAAATCTGTGGTAAGTTTTCGTTTAAGGTACCGTAATCATTTTCATTATAAAAGACCATACGTGTAAATATATAACTTAAACAATTCGTGCCTCTTACATTTTCTACACAAACCGGATGTTGACCACTCAATGACCCAATGCAGTAAATAAGTTTTTCACGCATTGTCTCCACGCATACATCCGCTTTAAAAAACAAAATTAATACTATATTATATCCAGTCATAGCCACTCCCGTTCAAAAAACCTTACTTTTAAGCCGACTAAAAACTATATATACCCAATTTCAAACAGATGGACACAGATCAGTGTTTGATGTCAATACCGACACGCTGATAGAGAGATGCCACTGTCGACGCTGGCCGATACCATTGTCTATTTCGCATCTAATTTCACCACTTGCTGTTGTCTTAGCAACAGCAACAGATAGAAGTTACTAGTCTTTGTATATATGTAAATAAATTATACTTAGTGTACTATTTTTAAGCTTGGATACACGTCTGCGGAGAATGAATGTATGAACCTCCACAATAGTAACAACAAAAAGGTTCTGTCTTTCAGGTTACTCATTTTCGCATCCGCAACAATAAAGAGAAGGGTTGTCTGTCTATATTTCTGAGATAAGTTATTATGTACATTATTTACATTATTTTGACTATTGTCCTCATCTTTGTTGCCATATTTTTACAACGTTTCGGCTGTTGTACGCTCCGACCTTCTTCAGGTGATTGGCATGACGAACTTAACCCTTTATTTCACCCACTGGGGTAGACTGTTCTAAGTTCTAGTTCCACGTGCCATGTTTTTAATGGATGTCAGTTATCAGTTATCTCCTATTTCCCTCTGAATGTTCTCCACTGCCTTAACCGGGTATTGAACTTACACTCTTTGGTGCCATGTGTCCTTGAAGACATCTGTGTATGAATTTCTGGGTATTATAAACCTAATGTCTTCAGCAACCATTTTTTTTACCAGTGCTCATATTGCTATTTTTTGCTGTTATCAATCCACGTTTTTACTAGAGCTCATATTGCAACTTTTGTTGTTATTATCGCTTTTTCTCTGGCACTTCTTATTACTGGTATTACAGTAGATATAGACCTTGGTTAAATCCAGTAACAGGACCCAAGGGGTTTGTCTGACGATCGCAAAAGCGTGAAACCCAGGGTCACAAACTCACATTAATCCAACCAAATATGTTAGCTCTATCTCTGATATTGAGCGCTTTCTAATAAGTACCGCGCATATAATATATAAATAATTATATATATATATATATATATATATATATATATATATATATATATATAAATGGATAAGGTATATATTTATATTTTACGTTGTTCCAATTAAGATGATAAATATTAATAACATTTATGGAATGTCCGATTTTCATAGAAAATATTCGTTTACAGGATTCGAACCTGCATCCTTTCATTATGTCTTATATATATATATTTATATAAATTTTGTTCACCGAACGCTCCTTTGTATTTATATCAACGTAAATGACGGTTCCGTATAGGATGAAGGTTCAATCCTGTCAAAGAACGAATATTTTCTATGAAAATTTCACACACACACAGAGCATTTGCACATACACACACACACACACACAAATATATATATACATATATATATATATATATTTACGATTCCAATAGAATAAATTATTACATTATATTTATATATATATATATATATATATATATATATACACACATATATATATATATATCCTATCCTACAAAATGTTAATAAATCAAAAGGACATATCAATCTCCTTAAAAGTGTTTTTTTTTTTGTTTTTTTAAATATTTTCTAGCACTCACTAACCCCAATGTCTTAGTAGCTTTATTGCCTTTCTTGGGGTGAAATGATTAAAAAAAAGTTCAGAATTCCTTGTAGGTTACCCGGATCTCCATACACCTGATGAAGGCCGGCATATTGTGAAAATGACAACAATGATGAGGATAATAGTCCGAACGTAAACAGTTTAAACGTCATTCTTCATTTATTTATCGGTCAACATCGATTATTGCTCTTCTTGAGTTTAATTCGTTTTGACACAGGTAATAGCGCCTAATTTTACAGTTACTTCCTGTTAAGGTTTTCCGCTCAAATAATTCTATGTACACGCTTTTCTTCTACCTGATCTTCTTCGCATGTATAAATATCGCCCTCGACCGAAAACTCTATTCATCAAACGTAGGTGATTGATTATCAGTACTGAAACTCTTTTAAATTCAAATATCCACCTACCCATCGGTGTATGTTGTACTATAAAAAGTATATTCTTTACGTCTTCATAAGCTAATCTTAGTCAGGTACAAAGCCACGATAGTTGAGAATCCGCTAACGCTAGAATGTACTGTATAAACCGTTTCCATTCAGGAAAAAATTGTGCATTCAATAGCCAAATATTTAGCGTTTCTGTCGGTAGACATTTGTTTTTCTTAAAATCTATTTTTTTTTTCAGGAAATTAGTCACCTCGTGTAGATTCGTATGTCTTCTTGGATTGATGGGAGTTTTTTTTTCTTTTTCGTGTTTAATCATTTCACCCCAAGGAAGGTGAAAATGCCACTAATGTGAAATGGTTTACAAGGAGTGAGAGAAAAAATTGCGTATGGAATGGATTAAGAAAATGACAGAAGATGAACGGGATTCAAGAAAATAGAAGATGGCGACATATTCAATATATATATATATATATATATATATATATATATATATATATATATATATATATATATATTCAAATTTTTCTGTGATATAAGGATCATATTCATATTGAATACTTTGTTTTTACAGTATTCATCAGCGTGTGTTAATCCCATTGATATCAGCGATAATATTCTACCAAGACTTCAACTTTTTAAGAATTTTTTTTAGTTCTTTTTACCGAAAAAAAACAACCCTTCTCTACATTATTCAGGCTATTGTCCTCATCTTTGTTGCCATATTTATTACAACGTTTCGGCCCTTCAGTATCTGTCTATATTTCTGAGATGAGGTATTATGTACATTATTTACATTATTCGGACTATTGTCCTCATCTTTGTCGCCATATTTATTACAACGTTTCGGCCCTTCAGTATCTGTCTATATTTCTGAGATGAGGTATTATGTACATTATTTACATTATTCGGACTATTGTCCCTCATCTTTGTCGCCATATTTATTACAACGTTTCGGTCCTTCAGTATCTGTCTATATTTCAGAGATGAGGAATGTCGAATTTAACCCTTTATTAGAACTATTGTCCTTCTATTTGTCGCAAAATTTATTACAACGTTTCGGTCGTTGTACACATCCGGTTTTCTTCAGGTGGTTATAATGTCGAACTGAACCCTTTATTTCGCTCATATTGGTTTTCTGACGATCGCAAAATCAAATATAACCTATATATATATATACTATATCAATCTAACCAAATATATATATATATATATATATATAGTTTAACCAAACATATATATATATATATATATATATAGTTTAATCAAATATATATTCATGGATATATTTATAAGTATATTTGACCTTGAATAAAAAACGACCACGTTAAGATGGCATGTCGGTATTTCACCATAACCCCTTAAATGAGGTTCCGGATATAGGATGCAGGTGCGAATCCTGTCAAAAAGGACAAATATTTTCTGGATATGAAAATTTCCTCGGACATTCAGGCCGGTAAATTTTATTTACTGTTTATTATAAATATATATTTATATAAATACTTGTATCTATAAAAAGAACGTTAAAAATAAAAAAGTCTTTTATATATATATATATAAATATATATATATATATATATATATATATATATATATATATATAGAAAAGTCCGACAATTTATTTATTAAATAACATTTTGATACGAATGTCCGAGCAATTTTCATAGAAAAATATTCGTCCTTTGACGAGATTCATGGAAGATTGAAGTTTATAAGCAGTAAATTCGACCTTGCTTACCGAACGCTCCTTTGTGGCCGAGTCGGTTAAGGCATGTCAGCGTAATTGACGGTTCCGTATAGGATGCAGTTTCGAATCCTGTCAAAGGACGAATATTTTCTATGAAAATTTCTCGGACATTCAGGCCGGTAAATGTTATTTAATACTGTTTATTATAAACAGAGTTTTTACTTAAATACTTGTATCTATAAAAAAGAACGTTAAACATAAAAATGTCTTTAATAAATATATATATATATATATGAAAGTGAAGGGAAAACCAGGAGTAGGTAGTTGGCGAGACTCGGTTTCATGTGAAGTTGGTCTCCGTGGGCTTTTTGTTCTTGAAGCTACTGTGCCGTGGTTTCTGAAGTAGTGTTATTTTGTTACTTCTCCCCGTCGGGTTCATCGAGCCAATTCGAACGATCCTTTCTTTAGCTGTATGTGCTCCGCTAGACAGTTTTTAAATGAAGTCCTAGTTTTATATTTTTGACATCTGGATTTTTGCCAACTGGGCCAAGGTATAGCTTCATAAATATTAGAGGAATACACTTCAAACCTTTATGAGAGTAAGATAACGGAGACAACGTTCGAATGAGCGAAAAAAAAATGGCTGAAAGGACTGAGAGAAAGAGAGAGAGAGAGAAATAGAGTGAGAGAGAAATAGAGAGAGAGAAATAGAGTGAGAGAGAAATAGAGAGAGAGAAATAGAGAGAGAGAGAAATAGAGAGAGAAAGAAATAGAGAGAGAGAGAAATAGAGAGAGAATTAGAGAGAGAGAAATAGAGAGAAAGAGAAATAGAGAGAAAGAAATAGAGAGAGATAAATAGAGAGAGAGAAAGAAATAGAGAGAGATAGAAATAGAGAGAGAAATAGAGAGAGAGAAATATAGAGAAAGAGAGAGAGAGAAATAGAGAAAGAGAAATAGAGAGAGAGAGAGAGAGAAAGAAATAGAGACAGAGAAATATATAGAGAGAAATAGAGAGAGAGAAATAGAGAGAGAGAGAAATAGAGAGAAAGAAATAGAGAGAGAAAAAGAGAGAGAAAAGAAATAGAGAGAGAGAGAAATAGAGAGAGAAAAAGAAATAGAGAGAGAGAGAAATAGGGAGAGAAAAAGAGAGAGCGAGAAATAGAGAGAAAGAGAGAAAGAAATAGAGAGAAAGAGAGAGAGAGAAATATAGAGAGAGAAATAGAGAGAGAGAGAGAGAGAAAGAAATAGAGAGAGAGAAATATAGAGAGAAATAGAGACAGAGAAATAGAGAGAGATAGATAAAGAAATAGAGAGAGAGAAATAGAGAGAGAGAGAGAAATAGAGAGAAAGAAATACAGAGAGGGAAATATAGAGAGAGAAATAGAGAGAGAGAGAAATAGAGAGAAAGAAATAGAGAGAGAGAAATATAGAGAGAAATAGAGAGAGAGAAATATAGAGAGAAATAGAGACAGAGAAATAGAGAGAGATAGAGAAAGAAATAGAGAGAGAGAAATAGGGAGAGAAATATAGAGAGAAATATATATATAGAGAGAAAGAAATAGAGAGAGAGAAATAGAGAGAGAGAGTGAGACAGAAATAGAGAGAGAGAGAGGGGGAGAGAGAGAGAGATAAAAACTAATTCGAGATAAGAAACAAAGGAGCTGATAAATGTTCACCATGATGGAAGAAGGGACCCATTTTCCGAGCCGCTTCAACAGACACTGTTCCCATTTTTTCCCCGCTATAAGCAATCAAGTTGAACAAAAATTCCTAAAATGAGTGTCGAGGTATTAGGGGAGGCGTCGAAGGGCCAGAAGACGTCCGTCGCAATTGAATAATCTATAAATTCAAGAATACATGGCACAGGTTATAAAAAAAACAACTGGCCCATAAAATGGGGGATGGGTGAAGAGCTGAAATAGGAAATGGAGGTACAGTCATACAACACAGAAAAAATTATATATATATATATATATATATATATATATATATATATATATATATATATACTAGCAGCATGGCCCGGAGTTGCCCGTGCTTGATTCAAAAATCGTACGACTCATACAGCAATCGCTATCACTTGACTTAAAATATTTTTGCCCTTCCTTGCCTTTAAAGAAGTGCCCTTTGCTGTGCTGATGTTGCTACATGCCTTACTTCTTGCCTATCTCACACTGCGAATTTTTTCTAAGCTCTAAACTAAACATTAAATCTGTTATGAAAAAAGAACTAAACAAAATGAACACAAAACGATCGGCTTTTTAAAAAAATTATTCGTAATTGGAAAAAAACGAATGAAAAAATAATGTTAACAACAAATACTTTTTCACACCCACCCAAGTTCTGCGGAATCAGAATCAACGTTGAGTTTAAGCAAGCGAATGAGCCAATTGGAGTAAAGTGCCATGCAGATTTAAATTTTTCCCACTTGTGACGAATGCAGCTATCGATTTTGTTTTTTTGCATGCTAGCATGCTAGTTAACATTCGTGTCAGTCAGCTGTTGGCTCTCACGCTGGCTAATAAAATCTTCCTGTCTATTCGTGGCAGCCATCTATAGGCTCTCACACTGGCCAGTAGAAAATGATCTCAAACTACATCAAAAGTGCCGTAGAAGCATGAAAAATCGATTATTTCCACTATCGATGGGAGTTGGGAAATGCAAAGTCGGTTTACGCCTTCCAGGTAAAATTTGGTGCAATCCTTTGAAAATTGCGGCCATGCATTCGTTACACACACACACACACACACACACACACACACACACACACACACACACATCGTGCCTTTTATATATATATATATATATATATATATATATATATATAATACTAAAATAGATATAAAATACTAATCTCTGTATATATATAAAATACTAATCCATATATACACATATATATATAAATATATATAATACTAAAATATATATAAAATATTAATATTATGTATATATATAAAATAATATATATATAGATAATACTATATATATATATATATATATATATATATATATATATATATATATATATATATAAAATAGTAAATATATATATATATATATATATATATATATATATAATATTAAAAGTAATTGTTGTTTCAAGTATTGAGAAAAAAATTGTAAGGCAAGATGAATAAAATTTTATTTGTGATGCGTTTTATCGCTTAGGACTTCATCGGATGTCGTTGTCACAACATCAACCCAAAAGAATTTATCTTAACTCAACATAATTTTTTTAATGTTTATTTGATTGATATGTCTAACATTTCTAAACATTTACAACACATTCGCAATTCCTAAAAATTTTTGTTGAAAATACATCTATAGTTTTTCAAGAAAATAATAAACAAACTAAAAATACTTGTAGCCGTCTATATTAAAAAATTGAAACCAAACCTTAATGAAATTAATTATGAATGTTGAGCAAATGTTATAAAATGTGTACAGTAGATACGTTAGCATGTGAAGGTCTGCACCAATAATTTTTAATACTCAACACATCAGACATAGTTACCTCCCCTGAAGTGGTGTCAGGCGATCACGTATGCACTCAACGTTTTTCACTTCACAAGTAAAAAAAAATAACTTTGAGACGAACACAGCAATGATGAACACTACAAGATTTGTCTTGAGATAAACAACACCATGATGATGACATTGTGCGCTGTCGAAAGTACTCAGAAAAAAATCATATGTATCAACATGGCGATTTTATCTCATCCCTTAATAATGACAGCAAAAATCTTTTGAGTGAATAAGAAAGAATTCAATTGAAGATAAGTAAACAAATGGGATATAATAACTTTTTACCTTTCAGGTTATAAATTATATAAATAATGTCTACATGTTCTTTTTTTTCCGAGCCCTTTTATTAATAAGGCTTCTATTATTTTTAGCCATTTTTTGCATGTAGATGATGCTATTATATTAGTGTTTGTCAACAAGTATGATACGAATAACAGCAAAAAAAACAAAACAAAAAACAATACAACACTTAATAATCTTAACTATGAACATGGACACAATATCTTGACCGTGTTTTGACAAATGAAAACATTATATAAATACATACATGCAACAAACTATTATTTTAACAGTTGAAATATTTTCTCCTTGAAAGCGCTCGGCAAAAAGAGCATTCGGACATTTTTTATATAATTTATCATCTGAAAAGAAGAAAAATTATTAGATCACATGCAAAATTGTATTAAAAAAACTAAATAAAAACACCTTGTCTCTTGTAGTCAATGAAATGTGCATGAAAAAAGGACTACTAGCTAAATACACAAACATATATATATATATATATATATATATATATATATATATATATATATATATATTATTTAATGCAAATATTATTAAAGACAACAGATATTTTGTGTCGACTAATTTTAGTTATCGACTTTTACAAATTACGAATAAACCTTCTCAAACAAGGTGCAATTTCCGTCACACACGCACACACACACACAAATATATATATATATATATATATATATATATATATATATATATATATATATGATTATATGATTGGTGTATACGGAATAAATTTCAATAAACAAAAATACTATTCTTCAAAAGAATACACAAAAACACACACACACACACACACACACACACACACACACATATATATATATATATATATATATATATATATATATATATATATATATATATATATATATATGATAAAATATAGTTTTAAAATGCATATCACAAAATAAAATCCTTACAATTGCTATACTAAAATCCATCTGAGGACGAAGCACTATGGTAAATAAAATTTTCCTGTTGTATTTATTCAGATGCACACAGACACACACCATATTATATTTTAAAAATTTTAGGTTTGGTTATTCCTAAATTTTCGCTTGAGTATGAAACAGGACTTGATACCTTAATTCAATTTAATTCTAATAATTATATTGAAGATTTCGTCTCACATTTTTGAAACATGAGAACTCTTATTCCAGTCGAATCCATTACATTCACTTATGTGCTAATACCCTTGGGAAAGGTGTGAATCCTCTTCTCCCCACCCCCAGCTATGGGTAAATAGCAGGACAAACTGGGTTCTATAGCCTCGGATGGCAACTGGTCTAGAAGAAGGACAACTCTGAATTCAAAACCTGCGGAGGGTCATTTGGGGACCTTGTGGCCCTTAGTGCACCAGGTCTCTGTATTCGGCCCTTCAAAAAGTGTGGATGGTCCTGCACGAAACCTTCACCATTGTAATCAAATCTCTTGTGCTGTTGTCGGGCTGTCGGTTTCCTGGGAACTGATCCGCTTGACTCTCATACGCCGAATTCGACGGGAGAGTCGAGTATATATATATATATATAAATGATTGTGTATTTGGGCCCCATTCTCTTTTCTACAAGTCTCATTAAAGACAACTAACAAGGTACTAAGATTAATCTTTTATTTAATTCTTCTTGCGTTTTTATAAGTGTTTTTTTCCTGACAAAAAAGCGTGTAAAAATTGTCCAAATATACTGTATATCCGAGCGCTTTCGGTTATACTTGTAGCCATTGTTATAGACAAGCGTATGGTTGCAAGAAAGAAATACGACAACAGCAGAAATAGATTTACGTGATTTATTTCAATAAGAACATGTGGATTTGGAGTTCATAGGCCGGCTGAAGATCTGGGTTGATCTCTCATAGTAGTTCTCGCTGGGTGCCGTGTCGCTACTGCTGCTGGCTGCTGCTGACCGCTCAGCCTGACCGTGACAGGTCTCTTCCCTGGCCTCCTGTTGACTGCCCTTGTACTTCCGTGTGACCCATTTTATGACGTTTTTTTTATGGCTTAACAGGCTCGAAAAACGACGCGAGTATAATTAGGAGGGAAGCATTTTTATTGGTCGAAAAATAGAAACACTTTAAAATATTATTTTATTTTTCGACCAGAACTCGTGCGTCGGAAACATGCGTAAACGAAGATAATGGTCATTTTGTGACGGGGCATTGTCCCGTTCACATCCGGCTCTCGCTCTTGAGTATGTCAGTTTATTTGCATGTAAATCAGCCGAGATATGTCTTATTTTATTTTATAACACCATTATCCAAGAGCATTTTTACTTTTAACTGAGTGCATGGATTTTTTTTAGGTATGCATCTAGAGCTATGTTTTACTTTCCAAACACGATCATCACGTTCTGGTTGTGTTCATAGTTGATACGTTTGTGTATATCTTATTTATTTGTAGTGCTTCCATTTTTTAGCCTTTTTACGTGGGGATGAGGCTATTATACTTGTATTTTCTACAATTATGTTGTAGTTGGAGTTTGGTATGTTTCCGTGTGTATTTAGATGAATCTTAACTGAGCTGTGTTCAGAGCGGTTTAACGTAAGTCGTCTAGATAGGCATGTGGTGGTATGTCCAATATAATTATTCCTGAGTTAAGTTTAATCAGGAACACAGTCCCTTAAGTGGGCGTGAATTCATAAATAGATTGATCCTTTGTAATTTGAATCTTGCAGATGTGATGTTATTGATGATAAGGTTCGATATATAAAGAATATATTGTTCAACATTGAACTGAAATGCAGTTCAATCAAATTCAATCGATTGCTGGTGTTCTTTTAATAGATTACTCGTTTTTCTGGACCCAGAAGATCTTGGGATAAAGATTATTTTTAAAGAGAAATCTTCATTGATAATTGCAATGATTCCATTATTGAAAAATACTTTTTTTTTTACTAGAATAGAATATCGTACC